AGCAGACGCATTGGCCGCGTTCACGGTAATGATTGCCGGGCGCTCGTGGTCTTTAAAAATTTACGAAAACTTGTTGCGCGCGAAGGAAAAGAGAAAGAAAAAAAAAGAGAGATCTCCTGCATATACTTTTAATGGCGATATGAAGCACGGTAATTAGCGGCACGCTCATAAAGGAATATGTAAATACGCGCATGTACGACCTTTAAAAATTCACGAAACTCACGTGTAACTCCAGTCAGATTATTTTTTCATGCTATTTATACTGTACGAAAAAAACGTTCGCGAGAGAAAGATATAAAATTGGCATTATTAGTTTCCGGCGTAATTCCTCGCAGCGCAGCATTCTATTTGTGGAAGCCCGGAAAAAAAAAGGACGAACTGCTCGCGGATTAGTTTTCGGGAACTTTTTGGGCGAATGAAATAAAAGCATCAATACAGGACACTAATAACATTGGTTACCTAGTTCTGAACATTCTTTTTGGTTCGGTCTTTAAATATGAATATTTAAATTTTCAATATAGAATACACACGCATACATATTCATCTATACATATACAGAATGTACAGCTCGATTTCACAATCTCTTGTAAAGACGTGGAGCGAATTGAGATGAACAAAAAAATCAAATATTGTTTTGTAAAAATCGCGATAATGATCTCTCACGAGAGATTATGAAATCGAGTTGGGAAATTCTGTATATATGTTGAATATATACAGAAAAAAATTAGTATCCACTTAGAATTAATAATACTCAAATTAACAATCATTGTTTTATATATAAGCAACGATATTTAATTTTGTTAGAAGAGTTTTAACGTTTTGGATTTCAATACAATGTTAATTTTATATTATAGTAGTCTTGTATAAGAAATATAATATAATTATTTGGATATTTTTTTCTAATATTTAAATATATCATATTCTCAATCCAATACTTTCCATTTATGAAAATTTTTTAATAATAAGAATTTAAATAATGTTTTATTCGAATTAATAAGAATTATTATGATCTCTCTTCTCCTTTCCCTCTCTCTCTTTCTCTCTTTTTCTCTTCGCGTGCAAGTTTTCGCAAATTTTTCAAAACAAATTTAAATTTTTATAAGAATTTAAATCCGAATAAAAATTAATTTTTCATCGTTGAATCACATAAAATGTATTGATACAAGTAACTTATCTACATTTCACGCTACTTTAATCTCATTTGAAGATTTACATGAGATTTACGGAGCGTGTAGGTGAGCGTGAGCGAGATAAATTATTTCGAATTCTTCCCCCAACTTACGTCAAGCTTATCCCGCGTATGTTGCGGACGAGCCCTTAAGTGTCCAGACGATGGTGCTTTTGCCTCATGTCCGAGAGTACGAACAGCAGACTCCGCAACCGCAATCTGTCGAAACGGGGACGCACTTTTTCGCACATTGGAATTTTTCCCACCGGTATTTCCGCGGCTGGGATGCGCGGTCAGGCTAAAAGAGAGGAGAGCGTGGCAAATAGGGAAAGATGGGGATCTTTCGTACAGTTTTTGGAATTCTATTTTTCAAATTGTGTTAAATGCTTTTAAAATATTCTCTTTAGTGTCAATAGATAGTATATAGTTACAATAAAAACATTTAAATAAAATAATAAATTAACATAATAAATAATAATAAATAATAATAAATTAACGAATGAAACTTTCTTTTCCCAAAGTAGAAAATTGTACGAATGTACTCCGCGAGTGGAGTAGCTTCATACAGTTAAGGGAGTATTTTAGTGCGAAGGCTCGTTTTCAAGGCGATTTTTGAGAATTAATTTAAAGCAAATAGTTAAACCAACATTAATGTTTTGTACTGACATTTCTTCGTCTTTGAAGAAACATCTTAAATTTTCTCAAAGCTTTATATTCAAAATTGAAGAAAATACAAGTGGATGAAATAGGTCTTGTAAAATTGTCTTCCATCGGGCGAATTGATTGCCGCCGTCCTCGTCATTTGAAATAAACAAATTTGCGTTTATTTTATTCTTTATGAATGTGGTTATCGCCCGAGCTAGAATAAAATAATTTAAAGAAAAATTGACAAAATGGCGGTGCTTGAAAAATAATAGTCTAATTTTTACTAAAAAATTCTAACTATTCGCGGTCCGAAAAAATAGTAATTTTAAAGATATCAAAAAGATTCTAGTTCGAGCGATAGTCGAATATGTGCACTATATGTATGTAAAAGCGCAAATTGATCGGCCCAGTAGTTTCCGAGAAAAATACTCGCCCGATTTGAAAAATGTCGTTTCGAGAAAAATGCGTTTAAAGATTCTCATGCACTTATGAGATGGATAATGAGTAATTAGAGAAACCTATCCTTAATCAGCTATACAACCAAGGCCATACATACAAGAGACCTTCCTCAACTTCATAAAACCCACGTTTGTCAGTTTCCTCTTGTCTCTTGGTAATCCTTGCTTTTTTCGACTCGTGCGACGCCCACTGCTCCGAACGTTTAACGCGCTCGTTGTCTCTATTATCCGCGAGTAATTTTGCGTTTTGGCCGATTTAGTCCCATTACGTCCATTATTTTTAAAATTGTATGAAATCCTTCATTAAACAGGCAAACAGCCAAAAAAGTTGCAACTTCCACCGTCTTCTTTTCACAATGTTGCAGATGTTTTGGTACAATTGTCTAAATTAATGAATTTAAATTTTCGTTATTATTCTGAATAAATAATCCAAGGCATCGCTGTAATAAATCATGCGTAGTTAAATCTTCGTAAATAGGTTGGGTGATATTTAACACTTCATCATTCATCTCGCGGTCGACGCGCCGTATGGAGGCTGTGTCTTTTAAACCTTTATAATTCGATCAATTTAACGAATTTTATCTTAATATTTTAGGGACATTTTCAAGACTTTAAACTATAAAAATATGCAAAAAAAAATCGATTTTTTGGACCTGTCACACTAGAATACCCCCTTAATGGAGCATCTACGTACATATGGGTTAGCTTTGCACATAATTATAAAACACAAAAATTATTATCTCACATATTTGTAAAATTTAAATAAAGACGAACTTTTATAAACTTTTACAATAATAAATATAACATTTTTTAAGTTTTACATAAATATTCAAACGTCTTATTAAAACAATTTTTTAATTATCATGTAACTATAATATTCAATACTCAATTTGGTCAAGAACAGAGAAATTTTACAATTAATCAAAGAATGTGCACCTCTTATACGAATGTATCCCAAAGTGAAAAGAAAAAATAATTTTTTTATAGAATCCACTAAAAATATAATAAAATTTATGATCAAAACATCATCTTGAGAAGTTCTACTTACTAAAAAACTGTTATTCTCGCTTTTAATACTAATAGAAACTACTTAACAGCAGTCATATACTTCGATCAGATATTTAGTTAGAGAAACACGTCACGTCCTGCTCTGTTGCTAACCGTCGTCGAACAGACGTCAAACTTTGCTAACATGTAGATGCGTACAAAGACCAAATAAAACACAATTACGTTTTAATTTCGTCAACTTTTTACTGCCTGCTAAATTATTACAGTTCAAATTCATACACGGAGAAAAATAATTTTGCTCTTTTAGCAAAATCGTCGTTGCTATTGCATATGCGTAGTAACAGCAAAAAAATTTAGTTGACTAGTAACTAATTTTATAAATTATTCGTTATCAGAGCAGAAATAGTTTTAGTGTGCTAAATTAATTAATAAATTTGCTAATGACACATTATTTTGCAAATTAACGTGATTCTTAGCACAAATACACTCAACAAATTTTTTCTATCCTGGCAACGAAACTACTTCTGCTCTGATAACGAATAATTTGTAAAATTAGTTACTAGTCCACTAAATTTTTTTGCTGTCACTGCGCATATGCAATAGCAACGACGATTTTGCTAAAAGAGCAAAATTATTTTTCTCCGTGTAGGAATTTGAAGTACAACAATTTAATAGGCAGTAAAAAGTTGACGAAATTAAAACGCAATTGTATCTATGAATATTATAGCTACACAAAGAAAATTTAGTTTTGTTGCCAGGATAGAAAAAATAATACATATAGTGTTCCAATTCTGCGCGATTTTTATTTTATTACCGATGTACGAATATGTGTACGAAGGGTCCCAATCTTCCCCTATGTGACTGTGTGTGCGTGCGTGCCTGTGCACTGTTTATCCATCGAGATTTTTCACTGATCGCGCAAAGGCGCACTTCGCGCTACTCGTGCGCGCGCGCGTCGGAGAATCTCGCGCGCTATATGCCGCGCTCCCGGCATTTCGAATGCGCGTACATCAGGCGCATTCGCGGGAAATTTGTGGGCTACGTGTCGAGTACGTTCCTGGATATACGTCGTTGGGAATACCGTCGGCGGTATTCCTGCGAAGCGTCGCGACGTCTCTCGGTACGAGGATAACGTCTTTCCCCGCTCTCTCTGCCTCTGTCCCTCTCTCTCTCTCTTCCTTTGTCCACAATCTTGCTTTAATCCTTAAGCCGTAACAAACTGACCAACTACAGTTGATTATTTTTAAAATGGACTGTGGTTGGTCAATTTATTACGGCTTAAAGATTAAAGCAAGGTTGTGGACAAGAGGTCTCTCTCTCCCTCCTCCTTTATCTCTCCCTCTCTCAGTAGTCGTGGCAATTTTGTACCGATTTCGCGATCGCATTTCCAGCGTTAAATGTCCAGTCTTATTTGCGGTCGACTTGCTTATATCGGTTCTGTCGATAATGGCGGCCGCTTATAGACTCGAAAATCGTACCGCAGTGCAAAGCTAATAGTCACGATAAAGCGATTTTCATATTTATTTCTGGAATTGGTATCGCCGCGAATACATTAGCGGATAACACGTGGAATAGTCGCAGTCGCTGTCAACCATCAAACACCAAGTATTGAAAGTTTCACCTCAGCGTGAGGTACACGAGTCGCGGATGTTATTTGTAGCGGCAAACCACTCTTCATCTTTGGGTAATTTCTGACGCCCGTTATTGTCTTGTTTGTGCAGCTGCAGTCGGTCCCATCGACGCACAGTGGCCCGTTCACGAGCACCAAGGGGCTGGAATATCTTCTAAAGGTACGTCCACCCGTCACATAATCATATATCCCAGAAATGAAATCGGGCGAAAAGAACGAAGTATCAAGTTTTCACGGAGAAAAATAATTTGCTGGCCCAGCAAATTTTCTGCTGGTCTAGCAAAATCTTTTCGTTATTATATGGACAGCAAAAAGATTTGCTAAGAGTACTAATCACTATTTGCTGGATACAATTTACTGAATCTACAAATTATTTCACTGTAAGAACCATAGTGGATTTATATAAGCAGTTGCAGGTTTGCTCCGATAGCAAATAAATTTGCTAATGATACATTATTTTGCAAATTAACGTGATTCTTAGGACGAATACACTCAACAAATTTTTTCTATCCTGGCAACGAAACTACTTCTGCTCTGATAACGAATAATTTGTAAAATTAGTTACTAGTCAACTAAATTTTTTTGCTGTCACTACGTATATGCAGAAGCAACGACGATTTTGCTAAAAGAGCAAAATTATTTTTCTCCGTGTAGGAATTTGAAATACAACAATTTAGTAGGCAATAAAAGTTGACGAAATTAAAACGCAATTGTATCTATGAATATTATAGCTACACAAAGAAAATTGTGGCTCTTGTTTCGCAAAAATAAATCATTTTAGCTTTACTAGGTTTTTCAGTAAGGTAGAAATCGATTGTCAATAGAGTTTGTCTTGTTAAGGAGAATGATAAATTTTCCAATAGTACACTACTATAGTTGCTGCATTCTTGACGGTTAAAGAGAAAATTTATGTGAATTCAAGTTAAATAAATATCCCATTAAAAGATGTTATTGTATGCACATCTACACAGTTCTCACAGCCGCAATTCTTACACTGAGAAAAAAGATATCTAAAAATTAACAAATATTTCTTAGTTGGATGTCATTAACATATTTGCTTAAATCAAAATTCTTTTCATTTAAGCTGAGTATTGTTTATTCGGTTTAAGTAAACAATACTCGATTTAAATGAGCAGAATTTTCATTTAAGTAAATATGTTAATGTGCTACCTACCTAAGAAATATTTGTTAATTTTTAAATATTTTTTCTCGGTGTATATGTAATATTCAGTTAATATGTCCTCATTTGTAGAGTTGCCTCAACCGAAAGAATATTACTGTCTCTCTGTTGTGGTCTGCAGAACAAACACTGTAGTTGATAGACCTATAAGGTTTGATTACTCCATACAGCACTAAGAGTATCGCTCAAACATGTATGAAGGGGTGGTGAAGAAGGCCAGTGTACTATTTCCAGAGTACCACAGTTACTACAACCATTTTGTGTGCATGGACAAAAAATGACATTAACATGTATGTGGCGACCATATTTAGACAAGTGACATCCTTAATGTTTTCTCGGTGAACAGAACCATTATAGATGAACTATATAGAAACAGAACTGTACAGTTGGGCATATTTTACAACCACAATTTTTAATACAATATATAATATAATTTTTAATACAATTTTTAATACAATATTTTAGAGAAGTTTCTGGTTTAGATAGATGAAAAATAGGAGCCTCCCGCAAATTTTTCTCAAAGAAATTAATAAAGTTATTAATTGAGTTTTGACCATACTATTCATCATTGTTTCAAATATTAAAAAATTTGTTTTATTAAAATTTCGTCATTCAGTATTTTGTGCTGAGCGCGGCGTCGCTCGCTTTAACTGATAAACAATATTACAGCTCGTATAACAATCTGAAATAAATGGGACAAGGAAATGAAAAAATTTGATGAAATTTGCTGAAGGATGAAACTTTGCTATATGTAGAAAGACGAATTTTAATTAAAATGGCGACACTTCGGGATTACAAGTCATTTTTCTTCTCTCCTTCTTTTTTATTTAGTGTTATAACTGGGAAAAATACTACTTTTGGAATTTTTCCAAAGAACTAAGGTTTATCCTCCAGTAAACTTAATACAGTCTTTAAATTTATATGTCCCAGATATCAGGTTATTATACGAACTATAACGTCGTCCATCAGTTAGAGGTGTCCGCGCTCAGCACAAAAATCTTGGATGGAAATTAAATTTTTTAAAATAATTTTGTTATACTTAGAACAATGATAACTAGTAGGGTTCAAACCCTGTACTGATATCTTTATTCATTTCTTTGAAAAAAATTTGTAAAAACTTCATATGTTCGATTATCAAAACCAGAATTTCCTCTTGAGTTCACATAAATTTTTTTCTAACCATAAAGGTATGGTTGTAGTTAATAACAGTTGCCTCCGTGTACGCTTCAGTTCTGCAACAATGTAAATAGCAGATATAAAACAGATAATAAAGATAGCATGTTGATATACTCCTTGGTTGCAAAATTCTAATCATTTTTATTACAAAATTCTCCCCGTATATTCTCTCTGTTGTTTTTCCAACTATTAAAAAATGATTTAATTGCATGATATGAATAACTCTTATGGTGGAACATTAAATCAAAGGATAAATACGATCGAAAATATGTCAAATCAACTGTATAATTGTATTATTGAACTAAACTTTGAGTTCATTTTGCACAAATGAAAGATTAAAGAAACGTGAAAGTTTCAGTGGTAAAATTGGGGCTTAGTTAGTTAGTTCGTTATATATAGACCTAAAATTAAATTTGACTGATTTCGCTTAAATTGAGTTCTTTTGATGGATCTTCTTTCGAACGTATTCCTGCAATTCTCGTCTCACGACTCGAGATATCGGATATTTTTCTATGTAAGACATACAGTGTCTTACATAGAAAAAAAGAATATTCTTGTTTAGAAAATATCTTTATTTTCGATATGTTAAGTTATTAAGTATCTTTAAATTAAATTGCACAACATTAAATGAAGATAAATTACTTGCAAGAATATATTTTCTCTGATTTTCAATAAAGAAAAATCTATCTTATTATTCATAAATAATTTTTATTAATAAAAAGCACAAAACCATCAAATTCTCAATTCAATATTTTGTGCTTTCTATTAATGATAATTATTTATTAACAATAAAAACAGATTTTTCTTCACGTTGAAAATCATATAAGATATATTTTTGCAAGTAACTTATCTTGGTTTTTAAGGCTATGCAATCTCATTTGAAGATTAATATGCTGGAAATAAAGATATCTCCCAAACAAGAATGCCCTTCTTTCCTGTGTATTAATTTTTTCTGTGTACAAGAGAGATGTCTAGAATTATATCGACCGACCTAGCGAACGAAATTAACTGTTTTGGGGCCGGCGAGAGAAGATTTCGGCGAAATTTCACGATTCCCGCGTGAAGCCGCAGATACTCGTCGAGAGGGAACGAGATCCGAGATTTATTTTATGATCCGGCCTGCTTTCCTGTTTTTTTTTTTTTTTTTTTTTTTTT